GAATTTGGGTTAATCGTTTCAACAATTTACTGTCTGTTGAAGTCCTCCATTTTGCTCGAGATGGCAACTTCTTGAGCGTCTGCTGTACAGCTTCCATAGTGGCTAGACAGTCGACGCTCAGTTTTAACTGAATCCCCTGTGTCCTAGTCTTGGGTCGTCTCATCTCCCGTTCTGCAACTGCTTCGAGCTGACGAAAGACATCTTCCCCACATGTACTCAACTTGTTGAGTTGATAGGCTATTACATGGAACGCCAGAAATGCCTTTGTCATCATTGTGTAAAGCAGATAGCGTCAACCAATCACTAGTGACAGAATCATAGAAAGGCATGAAGAAAGCGTTTTGCAACTACTAAGCGTCACGCCAACAAGCACCACCAACAATTAGAAACCCATAATTGGCTCTTCGTGACTGAATATTGTAGGAGAGTGTGATGGCGTGCCGTTTAGTACACAGAATACCCACACCATTTGCACCTATTGTACTTTTGATCGCGTACCTCACAATCTAACCGTCACCTCACCAAGGTTTAGCGACGAACATGTGTTGCTGTGCTACATGGTGACGTGATGGTTTTAATCGCAGCTCTACGTTTGCCTGAGTCTCCTTCGTCATTTCGAAATTTGCCGCCCAAATGAACTTCTGCACTACCCGCCCACCCAACAGCCACAACCTGCGTGACGACGTCATTGGCAATGTCAATCAGCGGACTATAGCGAACCACGCTTCAAATCCTCACGGCGATCTTGTACGCCCACGTTCTGCCGAAGAGAAGACATTAACAAAGCGAAAGTGCGAATCTGCGATCGACATTTCCAGCTTCAAGTCTGCTCGTCGTGAGGGTGAAGCCTTCAGCTCCCAGGCAGAAGATTTGGTCATGTTGATTCTAGAAGATCAAGCCAAACAACGCAAGCTCCGTCGTGATCGCCAACGAGGCTACAGACAAAGACAAAACGACTTGATGGTTTGTCTCCAGAAAGAAACACTCCAGCTACAAAATGAAATTCAAGATCTGGAAGAGCGTCGTAGCGCAATTATTGCCGCCACGCCGACGAAAGAGAATCTATGGGGCGTAGTGGTCGAGTATTTCCGCGTCTTTCGCTTTGGTGTACGGGGTACAATCTCCAATTCCTTGGAGACAAACGCGCAACTAAACTTCTTGGAAAGAACGATGACTCTCGACGTGCAGTCTAACACTGGATATGGACCGAGTGAACTGATAGCGACCTGGAGACGGTTCTCCACGTCGCTTCAAGGTGTCGAAATCGAGCTGCAGAATCTAAAAAGAGACTCTATAAACGCCGTGGTCGCTACGATTGCAACCAATTTCACCATCACGGAGCACGTTGTGCAAAAATTGTTCCCACGTTTGAGCGGAAAGAGGTCCTCTTTGCTGACGAAGAAACTTCTACATCAAGAGGTTGTAATGCTCGGAACGGTGCGGTTTGTCTGGGATAGAACATGTGGTCGCATTACGAGTGTTTTGAGTCGGTCCGATATGGTGACGCCGATGCTTGAGCTCGTGGGAAACGTGGAGGAACTAGCTCGAGTATTTGAATACGCGCGTGTTTTAGCCTAACGTCATTCTGGCGGCTTCGAAACGACTGTTTGTACACTTGGTACAACTCGATTTCCAACAATGTCAAGTTAAGGGGCAAATAACTGGTTCTCTTTTGCTATACCAGGGCGTGGTGTGGCGGGTTAGCTTTCTACGCAGCGAATCGAAGAATGAGCTGGGAGAGCCGTGGGCTCGCTCATGTCTACTGAACTATCTATAGTACAGACTTCGACTGTAGGAAAATTTGACTTCGTCCCCAACAGCCCCAGCTTCGCTGTTACCGTTGGCTCCGCAACCTTCAAAGCCCACGTAGACTCGAAAAACAGAGCAGAAAACGATGTTCCTCTCTATTGACTACAGGACAGTGTGTAAGTCCGTTTCGATTCTGTTTAATTCCATCGGTTTGGTTTATGTTGGCTGATATAAATACCAGTCAGGTAACGTAGTGCACTTTTGCTGACCGCAGAAGTACGATTGAGATCAGTAAGAACCGGCAGTAACAGAAACATGACCGCTAGCTACTTAAGCGAAGTCCGTCGAAATGGCAAACCTGGTTGTATTAACAGGTCCAGTGTGCCTCAATGAACGTTATCTTGCCACTTACATATTGAAATCCGGGTGAAATCTTCTTTTCTTGTCAGTTGACTATTTTAACTGGTTAGGTATCGACCACAAAGTCTACCGTTTAATGCTTGGATTGTAAGGCTGAAGCTGATATTAAGCTAGAAGAGCTGTATGGACAGATTAATTCGTTCTAAAAGAGTTACCTGTAGCACAAACAACTTTCAGACCACATCACGACACACAGCCAACACACAACTTAGTGACACACACTGTGGCCCTGCAAATTCACAAAATCGGCAGCTTTTCAACGATACCAGGAGGTCTTATAAGATTGAAAGTTACAAGTCCGAGACAAAAAGCTTGTTCTGGTGCCCATACTTGGCGGTTTACCTTAGTTATACAATGCTACGCCATTTCGCAGTCCCCTCAGCCTACTGTAATGCACCCTAGTTATTAAGACGTGTTTTCAACAGTAAATCCAAACTTACTCGCAGTATCTGTATCAGAATACAGATACTGCGAGTCAGTTTGGATTGAGGTAAGAGTCAGTGTGAGTGTAATCTGATTTGACAAGGTATTTAATCAAAAACAGGGGCAGCAACACTGTGTGGTGGTTGCTAGGCGTTTGTTTATGAGACACCATTTCTGGTTCTTCCTCCCACTCCTCAAGCCAGCCTTCGGGTCCCTCCTTTCTTCTCTCTATACTACCAGTTTGATAAAGTATCCTCATAACCAAAAGATTACCGCTCGATCGCGCCGCACCCTGAGCAAGATCGCAATATGTTCAATTTTCACGAAATTAACAGAGGTACCTTCCGTCCATTCAACACGCAACATCTCAGTGACGATGTCATTAGCAGTCTTACTCTGCGTTCCACCCGCCTCAGAGTATTTATGTGATGAACAGGAGCACAGACTCGAACCAGAAAAAAATAGCTTCGGTTTGGAATCCTCAAGAGCTAGTGTTCGCTACCTGTTGGAATAGATGGAAGCAGAGGAATCATCTCACTCATCGACAAGAACTGGCAAGGAGGACGAGGAGAAGACAGTGACGAGATTAAACAGAACGGCGTATCCACGAAAATTGGCGCCAATCTTGTCGACATATTCGATAAACTCCAAGAGCCACAAGTTCCGTAAAAAAAAAAAGCGCCGCGAGGCTCAAGCCAGATTCCGAGCAAATCACAATAACAATACTATACTACTAGTATAGTGTTGCCTTGAAGTTGATGACTGTGTTTATTGATTTCGGGCTAGTAGAAAACGTGAATTATTGGAAATGAAGTTGAAAAAAAAAGGTTGTTTTAGGAGCATTTCCATACTAATCTTAATAAACTGGACGATATTTTTTTCGAGTGACTAGGCAGCGTACTTCAGCAATCACCACAGCTGGGAGAGCACCATTGTACTGCACAACGCTACCCTCGGCTGCAACATACTGGTTAGGTTCCAGGTTCCAGAAGTATCAGCAAAAAACTAACGTCAGCTCTCAGTGCCAACCCTGCCATGGTAGATCAGCTTTGCCTCCCGCTGCACGGGCTGGATGAAACTACAACCCGCCAACTACACCATCCTCTATATCGCTCCAGCTCCCGTTCACTTCTTCTCCGGTACCATTACAAAACAATGTGTTTATTTATGACAAAAAGGAAGGATTCGTTACAGATCGGCAAAGATAGTGCCACGAACTGAGTGGACTTGGCCTTCCACGAATCGCGCTGCAAAGCAGACAGTGCGATTACAGAACAGATCGCCCCTAGACAGTTACGACTCTACACTCGTCATCAATGGATGGAGTTACTGTCTTTATACACGTAGTGACTGAATCAGCCGCTGGATTATGAGACTATCGATGGTAAACTGAAGGTTGAAGCCTAAAGCCTAGGTTTACCATCGATAGTTTCATAATCCAGCGATTACTACTCATCTTTCGTAATCTCACTGTCTATCTGTCAGGCCAAGTAACTAATTCATTTTCACTTTTGCGAAAGCAGAGCAAAATGAACCGAAGCGCTTTCTGCCCGCCCAACACGCATCATCTCAGCTACGACGTCATCGGCAGCCTTCCTCTTCGTTCCGCTCTCGCCCAAGAAGATCACGAGAAGTCTCACGAGCCACTTGGTACTACCAGCTGCGAAGACGACGTCGGGATCCAGACTCACGCCGTCTCCACCATTGATAGCGCACTCCTTGCCGAATTAGAAAGCTGGCAGCGTAAAAGCATCCAACTACGACGGAAGAGCCGCCGCGAGACTCAAAGGAGGTATCGAAAGAAACAAGCCGATTACACGACCAAATTGGCGGATGACGTCAAGCAACTCCAGGGTGGTATCAAGAAGCTCCAACAACAACGGGCCTCTGTCGGTTCGGTAGACAGAGCTAAAAGAAATGTTTGGAACGTAGCGCTCGCGTACAGTTCCAGTTTCCGTCGTGTGAACACCCAAGGTATCCGCAGCCAATTGGAGTTCCTTAGAGCGGCTATGGCTCCCGATGTGGCGTTTAACGGCGGTTTTGGGCCTGTTGAATTGGCGGGAAGTTGGTGTGTTTTGCGCTGGTTCGACAACGTGGACGTGGATATCCAGTCGTTAGTCAAGAGTGGCGAAGATTCCGTTGTCCAGACCACGAAAACAAGCGTGACGATCACTGAGAGGACGTTGCAGAACCTGTTTCCACACGTGTGTGGCCACGGAAGTGGCGATGGACGGAGCGCAGAGATGGCCAGGTTGATGGCAAGACTAGTTGATCAGCGGATTATCATGGATGGGAGGACGGTGTTTCAGTGGGACAGTGCTTCGAACTCCATGGCGAGTGTGACCACCGAGTGCGACTTGCTATCGCCGATTTTGATGCTGCTGGGTAGTCTAGAGGATGTATCACTTCTATTTGATCGGGCACTAGTTTCTCCGGATTTTCAGTGGAGACCAACAATTTAACCGTCTGATACTGTAGTTCCTTGGATTTGAGGGAAGGTCCAAACCGTCTTGGCAAACGTTCACATTCATAATGAAGCCATAATCTAAAAAAAAAGAGCTACATTCACCTATTTTAGCTTAGATAATTGCCTACTAGCATGTACATGTATGGTAACATGTTACACTTAGCACTACTAAGTATGCGTTAGATTCTGGACAGACAGATTACTACTTAAGTATTAATGATGTTGCGAGTCATACTTTGAAACAGCATAAAAAAGAAGGCCCAGTAAAACAAAAGTACACTATATATAAAAGAATATAAGAAATAAAAAAATGCAAAAATGCTTTTAGAAGTTTATAGTTCTACAGGGTATTGATGCGTGCGATTCACCTCCACTGGAAATCAGGAGAAATGAGTGCCTGGTCAAATGCGATCGATACGTCCTCTAAACGACCCAGAAGACCCAACAGCGGAGTCAGCAAGTCACTGTCAGTCCTTACACCTGTCACTAACTTCGTGGCGCTGTCCCATTGAAACAATGTCCTGCTGTCCATGACAATCTGTTGGTCGACTAACTTCGTCACCAACCTTACCTTCACTGAGCTCTCTGCACAGTTATACAGACGAGGAAATAGGTTTTGCAGTGTCCGCCCGGTCATCGTCATGCGCGTTCTCGTGGTCATGACTACGCAATCGTCGCCGTATTTCTTTAAACTATGGAGATCCACATCCACTTGGTCGAACCACCGCAAAATGCTCCAACTGTTCGCGAATCGTTCGCGACCGATTCCTCCACTAAACGCAACGTCGGGGGCCGTCGTCGCTCTCAGGAACTCGAAAAGATTGTAAAGATTTTGTGTTTTCAGACGACGGGAACGTGCATAGAACTCCAGTGCTACGTTCCAGGCGTCTCTGGTTGCTTCGGTCCCAGAATCCCGTTGCTGTAGGAGCTTTTCAATGTCTTGGCGGAGTTGATGGACGTCGTTCTCGAGGTTGGTCGTGAGCTGGATTTGCCTCATTCGGTATCTCTTTTGGGTCTCGCGACGTCGCTTGCGTTGTAGCTCTTCTCCAAGATCCAATAACTGGGCTACTTTGGTAAGATCTACGCTCTTTTTCATGGATATCGAGTTAATCTTGACCTCTTCATCTTGATCTTCTTGTCGATGGGTGGTGGAGTCAGAGTCTGCAGTGGCTCCGTTCCGCTTTCTCTTCTTGTCTCTTGGCGATATGGAGTCCTCGTCTTCTGCTGGTGATATCCTAGCGGGTATTGCCCAACCCGACGGTGGTGTAGTGCAGTTTCTATCAGCATTGGTATTTGTCGCTCGGATACTCTGGACCTGAGTTGGACGCTGGCAAATGCTGCCAATGACATCGTCACTTAGGAATTGCGAGTTGGGTGGGCAAAAAACGCTTCGGGGCATGTTCCTTTGGTTTGGTCTCGCAAAAGTGGAAATGGTATCGGTGAGTTTGCTTCTAGAAGATCTGCTGGTATCAAGAACAAAAGATCTTTTCTGCATGTAATGAAGTGGCCCCATGAGGGCTAATATGTGGACACCCGTTGTGACGCAACAGAGCTGGGGCGATTACGGAAAGCGAATCGTAATCGATCGATTATGAGACTTTCGCAGTAAACGCGCAAATTGCAGATGGTGAATCAGTATGTTCATCAGCCTCTTTCACTTTTTAACTACCATGAATACCATTGTCTTGTCCAAATAGTTGTTCCAAGTTCAGAACGCAATCCTATTATGGTAATGACAGATTTGCGACGAGCTGCCTCTTGGTGTTCGCATTAAGGCCGGAAGTTCTATGATATATTTTTATATCAATTTTACGTGTAGTGTCGCCATCTCGTCGTCGGTCCAGTTGTATTCGTCACCGGTGGCGCAGTCACGACGCTGGCAATGTTCGCATGAATCTTGTGACCAACGTCATCTCCGATATCCTCGACGAGAGCCGTCGCTATCTCAACAACGGCGAGACAGTAACCGATCCCTATGGTGTTGCTAACGTAAGGATTGCTCGCGCAAAACCCCAAGTTTAACTGTTCGGCTTGTCGAAGCTTCCAAGGTTACAGACTTCCCTGAAAAACTGGATGCCGAACTTCTGGTGAGGTGGTGGGAAAGGCTAAACGCCAATATTGAAAATGGTCTTAGTGGGCTTGGGGAAGCACGACGCCGAGTGAGATTTACCCCCCCCCCCCCCCCCGTAAAATATTTTCTGGATTCTTTTCTAAATCGTCCAGACTCAGTGATACCATTGCATTGCCTTTGGTACGTGGTGTAGCAAACTATTGTGAGTAAGTGCATAGGTCATGTGTAGGTCGCTGTGCCGCACAGAAAAATCGCTCGATTACGAGACTTTTGCAAGTAAACATCAGGCAGGGGGCAAACCGAGCGAAATTCTGTGATTATGGTATGACATTGAAGTTTCAACCAGTAGCCACTGATCAGTGACAACAATTGCAGTCTCAGTTTCCATTTTTCTTCAACAATGATGGTTTTTCAAGTCACCTTAGTGCCACCAGACTCAACGACCGCAACAGAGTCGCTTTCTCTCGACCTCTACACGTAATACGACTGGAATGAAGATATGTCTTTGACACATGCTGCGTCATGTCATCGGGTTTGTCAGTGCGTCGCTCTGGGCCAAGTTAACCCACCGGTGATCGCAGCTCGGATAAGGGGCTTGTCCAGCGCAGCAGGATTGGTGCAGGTTGATCTCTGTTCCAAGTAAATAGCGTCATCGTGTCCGCACTCTCTAGCACCTTCGTCCAGTGAATGTTTACTCTTACCTTCCTAATGCAAACATCAAATCCATGCAAGTAGTGCTTT